TCCCTGATGTCTCTTCTCAAACCCAAGTTCCATCCAAACCCAGAGGACGAGTTAGATGGTACAAGGAAAGAAGAAACTAGTTTATTCTTAAAGGTAGAGATAGAAAAAAGAGCCGCAAAATGGTCATTTAAAGGGTAATCCCCAACCCAAACTTGTTCCCAAAAGTTAATGTGGCCTAAGTGCAAATCATACCTGATCTAGGGAGAAAACAGTGGCAAAATAGCTTTGATTGCTTTCCACGGAGATGCTCTTGTAGTCCTTGACAAAATGCCAGAGTCTCATCCATTCTTTGCAAGCCCATGAATACTACCCACTATCTTAGCCCACAACTTTTCTTTTTCTAGTGAAAATCTCCACAACCATTTTCCTAGCAATGTTAAATTTCTCTTCCTTATGTTTCCAATGCAAAGGCCTCCATCCTTCTTACTCCTATACACCACCTCCCACACAACCCTATGGTCCTTTTTCTCCTCCCTTGGTTCACAAAGGAAATCTCTCATTAATTTTTCCAGCTTACTAGTCACCCCATCCAGGATTTTAAACACCAACAAAAAGAAAACAGGCAAGTTAGCTAAGGCAGACCTAATTAGGGTGATTCTCCCTCCGAGAGAGATAATTTTTCTTCCACGAGGCAAGTTTCTTCTTAATCCTCTCCACAACTAGGGTCCAAAACCCCCTTCTTTGTGGATTATCTCCCAAAGGCAAACCAAGGTAATTTAGTGGCCTATTAGACACTGCACACTCCATTAACTCCCCTTCCCCTAGATTTACTCCTACACAACTTTTCTAAAAATTTATTCTAAGATTTGACAATTGCTCAAAAAGTTGTATAGTGAGTTTCAAGTTCCTAATCCAATTGAGATCCCCTCCTTCACAGAAAAATATTGTATCATCTGCAAACTACAAGTGAGTAAGTGGTATGTTCTCCCTCCCAACTCTCCACCCCCTGATTAAGTTCCTGGAGTCTGCTCTAGAGATTAGTCTCCCCAATAGTTTTACAACCAAGGTAAATAGAAAAGAAGAAAGGGGGTATCCTTGACTGATTCCTCTCAATGTCGGAAAGAAATCCACCACTGTCCCATTCACCAAAATAGAATAGCAACAAGTCCTAATGCATCCCATCACCCACCTGCACCATTTGTCTCCAATTCCAAAGTTGATCATCACCTCCAGCAGGAAGGACCAACCTACTAAATCATAGGCCTTTTCTAAATACAATTTGCAACCCACCCCTTTTTCTTTGATCTCTTGAAATCCTCAACGCTCTCATTTGATACAAGTATTTAACATTCTAATCATATTACTAAAAGTAATTTAAATATCTATACTTTTCCTTATTATTATTATCATTTATATTTATATTCATATTTTATGATTTTTTAATAATATTATATGGTATTTTCTATATTTTTTAAATTTTTATTACTATTATTTTATAAATCTCTTTATTACACTTTGTATTCACTTTATATTATTTTTAATAATATTATATGATTTGTTTTATATTTTTAAATTTTTTTATTACCATAACTTTTTTCTTTTTAATATTTTTATTATATTTATAACAATTTTTTATTAATTTGTATTTTTTATATTAATTATTTTGTATTATTTTTACTATTTATGACAACTTTTATTATTATGTTTATAATTTTTTACTATTTTATCATTTTTAACATTATATTTTAATTTGTATTTGTATTTTTTTTTGATAATTTTTATTTGTATTATTTAATGATTTTTATCATATTTTATATTTTTATTATTTTTGTAATATTTTTATAATATCGTATTACTTTAATCATTTTCATTTACCTTTTTTTTATATCTTCTTAAGGGTAACACAACGGAGGATAAGCCCATCCCCCAACCCAAGTGCAAGCAGATTCAATCCCAAGTCTCCGCTACGACCAACAAGAAACCTTACCAACCAATTGGTTGGCACCTTGCATTTTCATTTACTTTTATTTAAAACTTGGGGAGTGGATTTGTAAAATGCAAACTTTTCAGACATCGGAACATTCAAATTACCGAACAACTCCACTATATTCAAATGTCTACAAAAGTATAAAAGCAAATTTTCCACTGAATACTTTCAGAGGTTTTTTTGCTTTTCAGACATCAGAGTTCAAATTTACCGAATGCCACTTTAATGAGAATTTTCACATGTGAACCCCTTGTGCAATAGGCTGACCTTTATGAAAGCCATCTTATATAACACAGAGAGTGAGAAACGAAAACAAACATTAACATCAGTAGAGCCAAACTAAGTGCAAGCCATATGTCTACATTTTGTGTTCGACCATGTAAATCCTTTTATGAGAGCTAAAAGACAATTTATTGAAAAGAAAATGGTTTTACAAAACTTCCATTCCCCCAATCATGTCACCAAACCAAGATTAATCAAGGCATAAAGTTATGATCAATACACAATCTTTCTACTTCCTTCTTTTTCCTTTAGAAGATTCATATTGACGACCACCCATGTCCCATGATTATCTGGACACTCCAAGAGCTAAAAATTCTTTCATTTCCAATATTCAGAATCTCAGCCCCGACAACCATATTCATTCTTTAAACTTAGATTCCAAAACTAATAAACTATCAATTTTGTTTCCCTTCCCAGTTTTCAATTTCAACTAATGATTTTCCCCCTTCTGAAGTGATCCTAAAGCTCATGACAATCCCACAAGAGCATTCTCATCTGGGAACCAAATCATCTTCCCAGTTCTCCCTTGACTTCACTTCTCTCCAATCAGCCCCCCCCCCCGCGCCAACTCCACACTTCCTACCCAATCCTCCACTTTTCTTACGTCTCCAACTTCCCATCCATCAATCCCTCTATCAACTAGCTTGTGAATTAATGTCTATGAATACAACCATTGTATTCTCTAATACTTCATTATGTAAGGTGTAGCCATATAGACAGTGAAAAAAAAAGGTGTAGCCATATAGACACTGATAAAAAAAAAGGTGTAGCCATGTAGAGAAGGCAAAGAATTGTGTTGATCTCATTACCTCGACAGAATTTATATTAGAATAACTAAATAGCCCTGACACTAATGACATTACCCATATTATTTCAACAATATACAAAGATAGATGTCATTGTTGTTCCATCTGAAAGCAACCTGTAGTAGTTTTTAGTCATAAAGATAAGATAACAATAATTCACAAGCTCATTTATCCATTAAATGCAAATGAAAATTTTGTTTTACACATTTGACAAATAAAATAAGATGAAGATGGGAAAGGTGTTACGAACAAATGGTATTCCAATAGAGGTGTGGAAAGGTATGGGAGAGGTAGGCTTATTATGACTAGCTAAGCTATTTATAAAATAATGAAAGAAAAGAAGATGCTTGATGAATGGAGAAAGAGCAATATGAAACTTTGAGAGAAGTCAAATACATGGTTGTAATAACTATGGGGGATTAAACACATGAGCCACACTATGAAACTTTGAGAGAGAATAATTGAGCAAAGGTTATGACATGAAATAAGTATATCAGAGAACGAATTTGGATTTATGGCAGGAAGATCAACTATGGAAGTTATCATTCTTTTTAGACGATTGGTAGAAAAGTTTAGAGAGAAGAAGAGAGAGCTCCATACAGTGTTCATTGATCTAGAGAAAGCATATGATAGAGTCCCCAAAGAGATAATATGGCAGGTTTAGAAAAGAAAGGAGTCCCCAATAAGTATATAGATCTAATTAAGGATATGTATGAGGATGCAATAACCAATACTAGAACACCTTTGGGAGAAACATTAGATTTTGCAGTTACAATGAGTCTTTACCAAAGCTCTTATTTATTTGCATTAATCATAGATGAATTGACTAAATATATTCCAGAGCTCCCATGGTGCATGTTGTTTGCTAAGCATATTGTTTTAATTGATGAAACTAATGAAGGATTAACATTAAAATTAAGTGTATGAACAATTACCCTAGAAACAAACGGTTTTAAAATAAATAGGACCAAAATAGAATATAAGATCTATAATTTAATAATGCTAATAGGAGTGCGAATGAGGATACACTTAGGACTGGAGATCAAGAGATAATGCAATGTGACCTTTCTTGATACCTTGATTAGATAATTCATAACAAGGGAGAGATTGAGGAGGATGTTGCCCATAGAATTAGAGCAGGATGGGCAAAATGGAGAGGTGCATCCAAAGTCTTATATGATAGACAAACACCACTTAGATTGAAAGGAAAGTTTATAAAACAGTTGTAAGGACCTAGGAGCAGAATGTTGGGCAGTCAAGAAACATGTCCAAAAAATGAATGCTGTAGAAATGCATATGCCAAGATGGATGAGTAGAAAAAAACTAGAAAGGACCTAGGAGTAGCTCCAATAGGTAATAAAATGAAAGAAAGTAGACTAAGATGGATTGTTGGCGTGAAGGTGCAGAAGGGCTAGGGATAGACCAAAAAGGACATGAGCCAAAGTAGCTAAAATAATTTAGGTGCCCATAATTTAATAATGGATATGGCATTAAATAGAATGGAATGGCAAAAGAGGATCCATGTTGCCAACCCCATATAGTTGGGATAAGGCTTGGATGATGATGATGATGACACATTTGGCATGCCAAACCATCATAAGTTTTTAATAACATAATATAATTAATTAACAAGAATACTTCAAGCTCAAATTAAGGGCCAATGTTGATCCCAACCATTCAATGTCTGGAAGGGGGTGGGTTGGATCTGTACCTAACCTGGGATGTTATACAAAAGTGATGGTTCTCAAACTCAAACCCATCTTCTCATGTCATCAGCCAAAGACACATTGCACAAAGAAATGGCTTCTACTTAAACCCCGAGCTACACATGTAAACTCCCTTACTTTTTATATTATCTTTGTTTTCTCATTTATAAGGACAAAGGGTTTTTCCTATGAAAACATAAAAAAAAAGGGTTCATAGGTTCCTAAAAAAGTGTTATGAGGAGCAACTTAGAACTAGCAACATGTTAATGTGTTATAAGGAGCAACTATTTGAGCTAAAGCTCTGCCAAGTTACTTATGTAATCTTCTAGGCCACCATCTCATTATTTAAGGCACCTAAAAGGTACATGCTATTCCAAGAAGGTATGCAATGCATTCTACAGTAACACCTAAAAGTGAGGCATGGATTCCCACCATATAACTCAGAAATAAACCACTGTCAAACTACTTTTAGATGATATCATGAAAAAAGAGAAAAATAAACAAAACTGAAACTTTCAACAATTAAAGCTCCAAAATCAGCTCAAATCCCCAAATTTGTTAAATGAATTGACAAGGCAAAAAAATGAAAATAATGTGTATCAGAAGAATAACTGACTTGTTGCCACCATCTTCGCTGACCTGGTTACCAAACTGGATGTGACGACCAGCATAGATTCCTCTCTTCGCTCTACTCATCACCACCTTACTGTCTGGGAGACATTTCTTCAGTGATTCCTTCACACCTGGGACCAGGTTCTCTTCCCCAACCTTCCTAATTATCTTCTTGAACATCTCCTTTGATCTGAATGCCATTTTCTTCTCCTTTTCGCTATTATTACTTTTGTTTTGCAGATAAGATGTGATCTACCTGCAACAACAGGAGAGATAAAATCTTCTTTTCCTGTTTTTTTATAAATAAACAAAATAATACTATTAACTACCAACATGGGTCAGCCATCCCCATAGCAATTCCAGGCCAGTGTTTTAAAAGCGCAAGGGCCAATTTGCGCCTGAGGCGCAAGGCGCAAGGCAAGGCGCGCGCCTTTTAAGAAAGGTGCAAAATTAAAAAAAAAAAGCTAAAAAATAAAAAAAAAGTCAGAAAATTCAAAAAAAAATGCCAAAAGTTCAAAAAATACTAAACATAATGTTAATAAAAAATATAAACTTAAATTTTAAAATAAATGTTTTAAAAAACCTATTATCTATAATTAAAATACATAAACATAACATGTAAAGCGTATTCAAATGAAAATTTAAAAATAAAAACAAACATATAAAGCATTTTCAAGCATGTAAAACCCACAATCTCTTTTTCTCCTTAATTGCATTGCTTGATTCTATGAGTCGCCTTTGTACCACACCCCTCGAGGCAAGCCCGAACAAGTCTATGTTAGGGTCTGAAATTCTTATTTCTCACATAAAAAAATAATGATTTTATAAAAGATTGAAGGAGAACAGTGAAAAAGGAGGAACACGCAAAGAACCTAGAAGGAAATGGCGACCATATTCTGTTATCTGAACAGGAATGATCCAAAAACATAGTATTTAGAAGGGAGAGAAAAGATCATCTACCAAACCCAATTCAGACTTCCTTAAACCTCTCCTCAACCCAAAGCCCCATGAATTTTCAAATCCATACAGAAGAAATTAATCTTTCTTTATTGAGTGAAAAGGAGTAGATAGAGGAGAAATCTGTTTTTAAAAGGAGTGTCCCCTAACCAAACATCTTCCCAGTAATGTACCTTATTGCCTTGTGTTACTTGTTAACAAATCAAAGGGGATGAAGGCTTTTCAAATATTCAGTGTTATGAATGCAAAGAACTTAGACATGTTGCCTCTCACCCCAAAAAGAAAAACTTTTGCACATATTATCAACAGGAAGGGCATATCATTACAAAATGCCCTACCTGTCCTCCAACAAAGATCAACATAAGGCTTTCTAGACTGTTGCAGAATCATCGGATAGTACTTCATCCTTAACTTCAGCTTCAAAAGAGGAATCTTCTAGCACTTTAACTGAGGATAATATATGGCATTTTGTAATGATATAAACCTATCTAGTTAGTCTCCTCACATCTGTTTCTCAGCTAGCAACTAGCCATATGTGGATTATTGATTCAGGTGTCTCAAATCATATGACTAGGGCATCATTTGGTCAGTCTCCCAAACCTTACTCTTTTAATAACCAAATAGTCACTGCCAATGTTTTAAAAACCGACCCGGAGGCTGAACCGTTTTTGCCTCTGGATCACAGGTGAATGGTTTATCATCTGGGTTAAACGGGACAACCCATGACATCATAATTAAAATAATTAAAAATAAAATGTAATATATATAATACCTGTATAATTAGCCAAAAATGTCTGCAATTTACAATATATATAACCAAAAAATACATAAAAATGCAAAAAAAAATCATAAAATTGCAAAGCATCTAACATTCACTAATCAAAACATAAATATATTTTCATACCTTAACATTTAAGAGATTCAGATTTAATGGAAATAAAAAATATATCATTATAAAAATAAAAAAAAATATCAATAATCATAATATTCATAACAGAAATATGAAAGCAATTGTCATTTGTCAATTGGTGGAAAAGAAAAAAAAAAAATACTAAGATTCATAATCGAATTTCAGAAATAAGAAAATTACATGAAAATAAAAATAAAATATTACCTCTTCAAAAGGGTTGACAAGTTGTAGCCATTTAAAAAATTAGAAAATATATTAAAATGAATGAAAAGAAAATATAYTAGAAGATATATTAGAAATTTAGAATGAATGCCAGAATATCGTTCTAGAAAAGTCTACCCAAAAATCCAAAACGAAAATTAAAGTTTTCTAATTAAAAAGAAACTCAAAACTAAATGAGAAACTTACGGACTGTTTGAATCACCCAATGCTTAGTTGCTTACAGCCGCCGACGTTAATGTGAAAAACTCAGAAACGGATTACAGTCGCCAGCGTTAATCACTGGACTGGAGTCACCGGCATTAAATCTCTGTTTTAAACTTGAATTCTTCTTCTCAAATCTCAAGCGCAAGAATTGAACCCTGTTTCTCTTTCGTTGTTTCTCTGAAAGTTTGAAAACTTGAAACCCTAAGCGAAACAAAACGTAAAAAAGAAAGAGGGATCGGGCTTAAGCAGGGAGTTTGGACACGATGGTCATTTTCGAATTATTAAACATTTGTAATGTAAAAAAACCGTCACCCGCTAATCAGGTCGTCCGGTTCGACGGTTCAACCATCTGGGTCGACGGTTTGTTGACTCAATCAATGGTTTTTTTGCAAAACAACGGGGTTTTGATGAAACCGGACCCAGAAAGGTGACCAGGTGATGGTTTGGACGGTTTGACCGTCCGGGTCAATAATTGTTAGTGGTGTTAATTTATTTTTGGGCAAATTTTTTAAATTACTCCTAAGGTTTAGTAAATTAACTAAATCTACCTTTATTGTTTACATATTATCTTAAAGTACCCCCAAATTTTTTGACAATTATCATTATCATTAAGGCTGATAAAAAAAACGAAATGTCAATTTTACCCATCCATCAAATCCTATTTCAAAAGGAAAGGAGAAACTCCATTACCTACAATCATCGTTTTAAAAAACGACTTAGAAATGGAATCGTTCTGGCCACCGGTTTCTAGGTTGACGGTCTGACCATCCAGTTCGAATGGATGGCCCGTTCTGACAAACAAACTAAAAAATAAAAAGGTCAAAAACTGTTGAACGGGTTGATGGTTTGACCGTCCAAATCAACGGTTTGTTGACTTTTCAATGATTTTTTACCAAAATTGAGTTTTAGGTAAAACGGAATCAGTTGCCTGCATGGTTCCCGGGCCAAATGGTCCGACCATCTGGGTCAACGGCAGTTTGAAAACCTTGCCTACAATGGTTGCCACTACAACCTCTGACCAATAGTGCGATGGTGAAGAAGATTGTTTCATGCATAAGCGTGTATGGAAAAAGATTAATGCTTATAGCAAATCTAGTATATATAAAACTGTGAAGTCTCGGCAATTGTTTTATGACCCGCTAAAACTTCTAACCCTACAATGGATGCCACTACTATCTTTTATTACTTGAAAGATAAGTGTTCTTACAATGCTTTGAGAATTCACAAGACTCACAATGAAGACTCAATAGCTTAATTCCTTTAAATAACTCTGGAAATAACCGACTCAATGAAGAAAAAGACAAATGACCCAAAAGACTATGACACAACATAATATGACTAGTGGACTCTAAAACAAATGCAGTTCTCTTAGGTTGTACTTGGGTCTGCTCAGGCATGTCTAACAGATAGATCTCATTCGCCTCATGGCCACTCCTAATCACCTTCTAAGATTCTCTGTCCTAAAAAACATAATATGAAGGAAAAAAAGTCACACTACAAATCAAAGATTTAGTCAAATTACTAATTGAAAGCAAATTGATATTAAGTTTAGGTACATTAGAGGTCTTGATGTCTCCCTTTCCCGTGATAGGGGCAAGAGTGCCATCAGTAAGGGATATCTTATCCCGGCCAGAAAGAAGTTGGTAAGAGGTGAATAACTGTGAAACACTAGTTATATGGTCAGAAGCATCAGAATCAATTATCTAAGTGGTTTTATGAGTACCTAAGATAAAAGCATGATGTGTAGTGGCACGAATACCTAAGTGAGCATATGCAGAGGAAGGAATAGTCTCTAAAGGAACTATTGTAGTGGACTCCAAGTGACTAATGATTCGGCCATACTTCTCATATTCAGCCTTGGCGGATGCAAACTGTTGACTTCTCTCCACCTTGTCCTTGTTCACCTTGTGAAGAGGTGGCTACATTTGCATTTCCACCTTTTCCAGTTTTAATCATTTTTCCACCATTTTCTTTATTGAGGAATTAGCTCTGGATGCAGCTTTCAACATGTCTTTAGTGTGCTTAGGCTTCTTGCAGTATTCATAAATAACATCTTTCTTCCTAATGTTAACCTTCGGCTTCATCCCAACATTAGCATAGTGATCAACCTGCGGCTCAACAAACAAAACCTGTCTTCTGTTCTCCTCACTGCTCACCATAGCATAGGCCTGAGACAAAGTCATTTCATCCTTTGCTAAAACATTCTACCTAACAATATCATACTCCGAGTTGAGTTCAATGAGGAACTCAAAGACCCGATTTCCCTCCCCAACCTCCTATATATTTCTACATCCTTTGTGCAACCCCAAACAACAGTCTCCATCAAATCAATCTCTTACCAAGGAGATGTCATCATAAAGAAGTAGACTACTAAGGGCTTCTCCCCCTGTCTAAGATTATTCACATCATGCTTCAATTTCCAGGCCCGAGCAACATTAAGCTTTTGAGAATAGGTCTCCAGGACACTATCCCATACTTTTGTTTGTAGTTTCCATCCATAGGTAATGTTGACTAATGTATGGTTGCATAGAATTCACTAACCAACCCACTATTGTGTTGTTTTCCTGCACCCACCTTTCATAGGCAGGATCATCCTCCCCTAGTTTCTTCTTGCTCCCGGTAATGTAACCCCATTTTCCTCTACTACACACATGTATCTTAATAGATTGAGACCAGGCTAAATAATTGGTCACATCTAACTTCACAATAGTTACAACCCCAAAAAGATTCTCCATTGACCCCCCATGGCCAAACCCAGAAACTGTGGAATATTTGGTCTCTCCTCTAGCTTGCTCCATTGAGTAAATGAATGCAAACAAAAATCAAATTAGGGCTTTACTAGGCTAGATTTACTGTTCTAAGCAAAGAACAACCTTTCAACCCCCCAAAATTAGGGTTTCACAAGATCCGACGGGATGAAGAGAAAGAAAGAAACTTCAATCGTCCCTTCCAAAGGTTCCAGAACATAATCCAACCAAAACCACCCCTAATAGAAATCAAAAGGCTTACCTATGATCCCCAAGCACCTGGTTTAAAACATCTCTACAACTTATAACAAGACTTTTCCAATTATTTAGGGTTTTCAGGAAAAATCTCTAAGAACATGCCTTAGGCATCAACTAAGGACAAAAAACCTCCACAAAACTCTCCAAAAACATTTCTAACTGGACTGCATAAGTAGTTGATTGATCAACCAATCAGTTCTGTATACACACTATGTATGGGCAAAGAAAGGAGAAAAAAGCCGAAAATGAGAACCCGCTCTAATACCAAGTTGAAAATTACACATGCAGTAATTCAAATAATGCAAGAAAAGAAGGAAGAGATGAAGAAGGAAGAAGTTTCAGCAATAGGTTGTGGAAGAAGAAAAGAAGGGAAGAGAGAAAAGAAGAATTTGAATATCCCTCTAGCCCCCTTTCATCACTTTTATTAACTTAATTCTAAGACTAAGTACATTACTTGGATGCCCTTAATGGGGCGCCAACACTAAAGAAATAATTAAAGAAAACAAAAGAAGGCTCATATCTAAGGCCCATAACTAACAAACATAACTTTTAAACACTAGTTAAAAGAAATAAAGAACAGTAAGGCCCATTCTCACTACAAAAATCAACTTAGAAATGAAACCATTTTAGCCACCAATTTCCAAGCTCACTGTTCAACCATCCAGTCCAAACATATCAACTTGTGACATTTTAAAAAATAAAAATTAAAAAATTAAAATAAAAAGTGACCAGAAAATCATCTATTGGGTTGACCGGTTTAGTGGTTTAACTATTTGATTCAGTGATTTTTTGGGCCAAGCATAAAATGAAACCAAACAATTGACCAATTCCTAGGTTAACAACAGTTTTAATCATGGTCTGAGCTGAATATGTTATGTTATTGGGGTTTTCTCATATTTGTATCTCATTGTAGGTGCTATGTTATTCAGTGTCATGTTATTCGGTTACAATATTCTTTATGATGACAAAATACAAGCATAATGCAATTATGTTGTATAAAGAGCATGAAAATTATATTTTATATCATGTCATACTATACACCAATTTTCATGTATATCGATTAAAATCCTAGTCAAACAAATTCAAAGAGACTGGATGTGAAAGAGTTCAAGTGTCTTATCCTCAATTCCTTGGGCACAAATTGGTTGTAGTGCAATTCCATTTGCATTAGCATAAATGCATGGGAGTGCAAATGGGTTGAGGGTGCATGGTTTAAATTATTGCAATGTGTATCCTATTGTAGAATACATATTGGTTTTGAATTGATCGATGTGTTAATTGTTAAATGCTAAGAAGTAGGGACATCTGTCAAGTTTAAGCAATGGCAATAGGTACGAAACAATGGTAAATTGATAGGCGATCACTAGAAACCTTCTAAGAAAGAGGTAATATAGTGAAAGGCTGGGAGGCTTCATAGTTAAAGCCACATAGGAGTTTTAGAGCTAGGAACCAACCAACTTAGAGAGTGCCATCGTTATTTGTAAAAGAAGGTAGATCATTTGATAAGGTTATAGAGATACATGAATGGATTTCGAAGGGTGAATGCCAAGTGGTGGAAGGTAAATTGGGAAGCTACATCTAACGAAGGCGAAGGGAGAAAATTGTATTTGTGCAGATGCCTGGTAGGAAAGTTTGAAATAGACCATTCTCTACTAGGGAGGTTCAAGTGAAGCTACAAAGAATATGGAAGATAGGAGCTCCTTTGACAGTCAGGAGGCAATCTATGAGAGCAATCCTCTTTTGCTTCCCTTTTGACTAGGAAGAATGGAAGATGTTGAGGGAGTGGTACCAGGGTGTTATGGTGGAAAGTTTTAAGCTGTGAATAGGGAGTTGGTACTAGGGCATGAACTGTATAATGGAGGGAAAATAGAATACAAAGACCTACTAGGTGAGAGTGTTTAGACTTCCATTGCAACTCTAGAGGTTAGTAGTAATTCAAACGATTGGGGATTTTTGCGGAGGTTCTATAAGGAGAGGTGCGAGTGGGTAAGAATGGAAGTGGAGTGGGGAGGTTATATTCCTACATGTTCCATATGTGGAAATTGTTACCAAGAACTTGAGGGAACTTTCTCTTATTCTAAAGGTGGAAATAAGTAAGATGGTAAGGAAGGAGTGGTAGTGCTACCAATAGGGGCGGAGGCAAGATTTTTTCTTTGGGGTAGGGGTGCTCATAAAAATCGAAAAACCGAAAAATCAAATCAAACTGTTCGATTCGATATTTCTGAAAAACTGAAGGACTGATTTGAT